TCTTCAAAATGTTCTTTCCATCTCCTTCTTTGTTCTTCATCCCCTTCTAGTTGTTTCCCTGCTTTGTCTTTCACTGGCCTTTCTTGTTTACTTTGCTTCCCAGCTAGCTTCTTTGTTATGTCATACAGATCTTTCATATTTCCTGCTTTTGCAGCTTGTTCTGCTTCTGTTGCCATTTCCTCGATGTACTTTCTTTTGTCAGCTTTAATACTTTGTTTTGTTCTCTTGTTGGCCTCTGCATACTCTTTTTGTGCTTTTGTTTTTTCAGCTCTTGTTCTGCTTGAATTGACCACAGCCTTCTTGTCCTTCCTTTCCTGTACTTTTTTAATCGTGTCATTTGTAATCCAGTCTTTATGATGGTACCTTTTCACTCCAAGTATTTCATGGCAGCTTGTTGTGATGCTTTCTTTTATCCCTTTCCAATGCTCTTCAACTGTTGTTGGTTCACCAATTTCTTGTAGGGCTTGGTATTTGTTTTTCACCGCAATCTTGTACTCCTGTAAGATTTGAGTATCTTGGAGAAACCTGGTGTTATATCTGATTCTCTGAGAGTTTCCTTCTGTTTTCATTTTCTTGAGCTTTAGTTTGATACTACCTGTCAGTAGATGGTGATCTGAGGCTACGTCTGCTGCTCGTTTGACTCTGGTATCCTGCAAAGATCTTCTAAATTTCTTATTGATGCATATATGGTCTATCTGATTTTCCGTTATTTGGTCTGGTGATACCCAGGTGGCTTTGTGGACTCTTTTGTGTTGGAATAAGGTGCCACCAATAACTAATTTGTTAAATGCACATAAGTTTGCCAATCTTTCACCATTTTCATTCATTTGGCCCAGTCCATGTTGTCCCATTATCTCACTATATCTGGTGTTATGATTTCCAATTTTGGCATTAAGGTCTCCCATCATGATGGTAACATCTCTTTCTTTACAAGTGTCAATAACGCTTTGGAGTCTGTTGTAGAACTCATCCTTTGCTTCTTCCTCTGCATCGTTTGTTGGAGCATAGCATTGTATAATATTTGTGTTGATCCGTGTCAAATAATGACCTTGCGTAGAGAATAGTGATCCAAACTCCTCTTTGATAAATAACAGAAAATCTTTTCTACATTTAAACTTTACATTCTAATTAACAAAATATTATACAACAAAATAAACTGCTTTGGTGTGTGGTCGTCCGTGTCCCTCGAAAGTCGGTAGTCTATGGTTCCAAACGGTGTTTGGGATACACTACTGTCTCTTGCCGCTAAGGAGGCTCAGACACCCCTCTCCAGTGCGAAGAGATTACACTCCCCCTCTCCAGTGCCGAGGAGGTTACACGTCCGTCTTGCGTTCAAGACTATGAGATGTGACTGGTACGGGCCGCCATCTCTACACAACTTTACAGGAATGATCTATGAGACCTATTAAATATCATACACAGAATAATATAGACATATAATTTACGCTGTGAAACGTTACAGTGCAATATGTACAATGCAATAATTGCTATACTTCAGAACAGTTATTATAGAACATCGAACCGACAAATAAAGACACAAACAATCCACCGTACAATTAAGACTCAAACAGTTTCGAATACAATGTAACTATAAATAACAGAACTTAAAAATATGAAATGGAATAGCTTAAAGTTGCATATGTTAGAAATTCCGTGTCTGGGTGTTTTTAGATATTTACAACTTATAAAATAATAAAAACAAACGCAAATAAGGCTTACCTCAGAGAAGCAGGACCATACCATAAATTCTAAATAAGGGTTGGGTTGAAATACCCTCAGTGGTCTGCCATGTGTATTAGACAAATTAATTCGATGTTAGAAGTTTTTTGAAAACGTCCTTCTATCTGGACTGCCGTGTCCAAACTGAAGCAAGGGCTTACCAATATTTTAAAGGTCCAGTGATTTGAGGTATAAAACGGGATTAAATAAACCCAGTGAAAAATGGAGGCTCCCCACAGGTGACTACAAATTACTTGCGTGTTCGATTAGGAGATTTTAATGTGACAATCCGTTTATGTTTTGTTTTAAATGATGCCTTTATGATCCTTGGGCCATGTGCTTCCCAACCTATTAATGCTTCCCTTGCTGTTTTGGATAGCATGATGGCCACTCCTTGAGAATGCGGTGAATTTTCTTCTTCATGTCCAGAATAGAGGAGTAATTCACCTGTAGTAAGTCTGCACTGTCCTGATTGAATCCATCTTGTCTCACTTATGCCAAGCAGTGTAAGATTGTAGTTTCTCATCTCTGCTGCAATTTGCGCTGTTTTGCCTGCTTCGTACATGGTTCTTACATTCCAAGTTCCTACATTGATAATTCTGGGTCCGAGAAGGGTTTTCGGCCTTGTAGTTTCCTTCTGTCTTTGGCTTTCACCACATGGCGTCCTTCGTCTTCCTATTGGAGAACCTTCTCTTCCAGAATTTGAGAAGTCTTGATTAAATCTTGCTTGCGTTTCTGTGGCGTTGTTTGTCTTACATGGTAGGGTTACTAACCCTGCGCACAACCCCCTGGACCCGGAGGGCCGGTGGTTTTCTTTTGGGGTTTTCCTTCCCCTAGTCACAGGTTCCAGTTATTTAAAGGCGCTGGAGACTCGCCTTTTGCCACTGTCACTCAGCTACTGAAAGCATTTCCAGGGCCACCACGGGGAGGTGTGACATGTGACTTGCTGGCAGAACCTGTTTGAGACGGTAGGCATTAACTCGAAGTTTTGATAGTGTAACTTAGTGACATCAGTTACACCCTTCGAGACCTTCACCAGCCTTTGACCCCCTTACTCAGTGATCTGTTTATAAATATAATACACAACTTTACTATCACACTGCTCAACGCGTTATCGGCAACTCGGTTGTTATCGGACACTCGGTGCAAGAAAAGCATTGTTTAGAAAATGTGGGTAATTTTAAATTTCATATATCTACGATAAATTTGTATTTCAGCAAATAAAGTTTGTGATCTATGACAGATAATTGATTATACTTTCAGCAGCAGGAAGCACAAACCAAATCACTCTCTTTCAAAAGATCTACAGCTCTTTCAAATGATATTTTACAAATATTTCGGACTATGTCATCACATTTTAACTTCTGTAGAATTCAAAATTAGTTTATTCTATTAAACAAACTGATCTACTTATTCTACAGACAATTAGATACCTTTAGATCAGCAAACTGAGATTAAAAATCCAAATTAAGGGTTAGTAAACAGTCTTTTAAAATGTCTCGTTAGTTGAGAACATGTTATCGTCAACTCGGTTGATGTTGCCGGATACTTCGCGGTTTTTGACAGGTGTACGTTATCGGAAACTCAGGTTAAAAAGTTTCCTTTAGCTTCATAAATAGATTGGAAAATTCCATTATAATCTGCGAATTCAAGAACTACTGCGTGGGCCAGAAAAGATGAAACTAACAGTAAAAATTACTGCCATTGTGTCAGTTTAAGTGTGTATTCCAATCGGTACTTCTGGAGAGAGTGGGGATACAGTAGGAATTTTTTTTCTACATGGTTTTATATCTCCCACTTGATTCAATACCAAGATCAATTCAGTGAAACAAAAATATCAACAGTCTTCTTTACAGTCAAATTCTATGGTCGATACAATGACCTTATCAACAAATATTTCCATTTCTAATTTTTTTCTCTGTGATAACTCTTTGAAAGTTAGGGGTAGTTTATTTCTAGATAATTCTGCCGGAATGTAAATTAGGCAGGTCGATAGGTCGGGAGCTAAGGAGGCCTAATACGCATGCAATTCTCGTGCGCATCTGTCTCTGTGTCTGACGCTAAGGTGGCCAAATATGCATGTAAATCTCGTGCGGCTGCCTTTGTGTTTGACGTCGGTTGGCGAGGACTATTGAAATTGGCATGGAAGTCATCATGTGATTTAAATCTATTTATCTACATTTTTAAAGTCTAAATCTACAATTTTATTTCACAATGAAATGGAAATATAAGGAATCACTGTCTAGTTAGGAGGGTATGTCAGGGACATCAACAATAGTGGGAAACATGGGATAATTTAAGCATAACGGGCTTCGCCCGTAATGCAAATTATCCCATGTTTCCCACTATTGTTGATGCCCTGATACCCTCCTAACTAGACAGTGATTCCTTAAATACATTCTATCATAAAGTCAAATGCCGATAGACATTTTTAATACTAATGTTAACTATTTTTCACACTGAAAGAGGATGGGTGGACACGACGAGAAAAAAACCTCTAGTGTGACAAACATGATGATGAAACATTAAATCTCATTCCTCGATATTCCTACTAACATTAAAATATATACAAAATCAAGATTGATTATTTGCCAATGAAATATATACTTAACAGGGCAAAAAAGAGTAATTTTCTCATACATTAACACTTTTTGGGATACCAAAGTTAGGAGCAAAGACCCCCTATATCTTATTTTTATGACATAACATTCTTATTTTTTTTTTTAGATATATGTACATGAACCATTATATGCCCGTCATTTCAAGGAGGAGGGGGGCATTAAAAAAGACACAGGACCAAATAAAAACAAGATGTAATTGAGAGATATGAAAACTTATTTTAAGGTCTGGTGAGCTAATAAGTAATGTGTGTAATTTGTATTTGTCTGAAGACATTTCATTGGATAAAAAATATTTTCTATTATTATGACTTGTGTTGAATACATCACGACTTACAATGTACCTCTAAAAACATAACAATTATCTTGAGGGTAATTTTAAAATATTTTCAATTCGTAGGCAAATTTTACTGGAGATATTTTCTTATATCATTATTTTACTCATAATACACATTATAAATAAAAATTAAACAATAAGGGGGGATTAATATCTTGTCAAGTTATACTGGCATAACCTGGGCTGGAACACCTTACACTTTTTAAAAATAAACTAGGCCTTCTTCCTTATTTAATAAGCCTAATCAGTCCCAACTGCAGATTATACAGTATAACATCGGTGGCCAATAAATTATCTCCTTTTTTAATAATACATCAAAATAGACATTTTTTAGCATTTGATAATTTATTATCTGAAGATAAATTGATTTGACAATCACATCAAAACAGAACCTTCATCATTTACACATTTAAATTGCACAGATTGCTCTTGCATTTCCCAAATATGACAGAGGAATGTGTAAACACAATATAATGTTATTTATCATATCACTTCATTAATGACACTGTATCAACAACATTTTAGCCATTCCATGGTTAAGGAACTTTGATTTAATAAAATATATATTTCAAGTATTCTTCTGACAATTGTCCACATAACTTGACGACATATCATAGTTAGGACATACTACATGTAGGAAACTAAAAGAATTATTGAAGTCAACAAAAAATGCCAAATACTGATCAATACAAAAATTCAGTTTTACATATAATGCAACAGTCCTGATTCTAGCCCCTCATTTAAAAATAAGAACTGAAACTCTTTATCATTCACTTCTAGGAGTTAAACAAAATTTTCAACTGAAAAATTTGTCCATTATTTTTACAAATGAAAGCTTCTACACAAATCATAATAGAATCACTTTATATATTCATAAATAAGAACTCTTTACACAATAACCATAATGAACATAAAAAATAAACACAGTTATGTGAACAACAACATCTAAATATTAACAAACTTACAATTCAACATGTACCCATGATGTGTATTGGTTAAAATGGACAAGCACCACACACTTCATAACTAAATTATTAAAATATTTTATAATGTGTAAACATGCGAACTTTCATACAAATGCAGACTACAAGGGAAATAGGAGTTTTTTTGTCACATTCGAATATTATCAAAAATATTTTGCTTTTCCATTTGTTGGTAATACAAGACCAAAACAATGACTACCAAACTTCATAATAATGTATTCCCAGTTTAGCAAATATTGTTTCCATTTACATGTATGTCTCTCAGCATGCTTTGCAATATTATTACCGGTTCCAAAACGATGTGCACACCAAAGATTTCTCTCAGAAAACGAAACTTGTGTTCCCACAGCATTATAAACTTAAGTTGTGAGATCTCTATCTACGGGAGATAAACACACATTAAAACCAGCCAAATAATGTTTACATCCATTCACTGACAATCTTTTGTCTCCATATAAAAAAAAAAATAAATGAAATGAAACAAAAAATAATGTCACTATGCATACCAAATCTTGTAAGAAATGGCTTCATTTGATATCAAATGTCAAAAATGAACTAACACTGCTAAGCAGATAGCATACACATGTTGTAATCAAACAACAGGCTTTTATGCCAACTGACAAAAATAATGCAAAGGACAATCATCAAATTTTGGTAAGGTTCCACAAGACGGTAATCATTTTGACTGACATGAGAACAAGAGTTTACCATAGGTACAGCCTTGACTGCTATATTACCAAAGTATTTTACAGCAAAGACACCTACACTGAATTCACCCTTACAGCAAAAATGATTTTCATTTTCAATAATTTTAGAAAGTTGATCTTATCAGAAAGAATGACAAAATTTGATCTTATTAGAAAGAATGACTAAATTACAATTTTCAACAAATCAAAATTATTCTCTGGCACTTTGCTTTAAGTCTGATTTACTGTGCATCAGCATTGCATAAGAAACTCCCCTTACTGCTAGAATTAATCTATTTTGAGTTCTGATTGGTTTAAAAAGCATTAACTATTACTTACTCTAGGTTAATAACCCTTGAATTCTTGGAATATTAATTTTTATAATGGAAGGAAAAAGAAAAGATTATCTTTTTTCAACAATACTTAGGATCTTATGAAATACATGTAAATAAATGTTAAGGTAGTGGGACATTGTGAACAAATCAGAACTTGGTTTCTCATCGTGTACAAATCATTGTTCATTAATTTAATTTTTGAGTAAACACCTCCTAAGAAACTTTGATCATCTTTTACTATCATAATGATAATCTGAAATCAATATTTTATCAATATAATCTACCCAGATAAACAGTCTAGCACCAAATATTGTGATTATGTTTAAATATTCAACATTTCATATCAATAACATCTTTTTCAGTTTTAACAAAAGTGTATCCAGATGACAATACGTAATCAATTACTCCACTTCTTAATTGGATAGTTGTGGTAGTTAAGAGAGTTCAGACTGAATATGTATTTTAAAAAGATTAAACCTCTTCACCCTCTAAATGCATTAGTGGATGATTATGAAAAAACCTGGAAAGAATAACAGATACAACAAATCTGTTGTGTTAAACACTGAGCTTCAACTTCCCATTTCTGACTTTTTGGGCTTTTTTGCACAATCAAAAATAAAATAAAAAACAACAACAGGCATCAGGATTCTTCACCACCGTTTCCAGAATCATCATCATCCTCATCATCATAATAGTTGTCTTCCTCTTCATCATCATCCAAGTCGTAGTCCTCATCGTAAAAGTCTGTATCATCCACACTGTTGTGGGAGGTCTGGGGTTTGATTGAAACACAATATTCCTGTAACGTGGTGGGGACATTCACTCCGTCACGCTCCGCATCTTCCTTAGTGGCCTGAACTTGTTTTCTGTAAATATGAATATTAATTTAAAAGTTCCATCTTCTATTATTGATCATTATTGAAATACATGTGTAGTTAATGGTGTAAAAAAGTTCATTTGATGATTTGATTGATAATTCCCATTTTTTCTATCGAAATGGAAAAAAAATACTTTTACTTGCAGTAGAGATTACATGTATCCTTTGAATAATTCCCTAAACTACAGTGTCTATACAAGAATCAATTTTTAAACACGTTTGAATTGTTGTTCACCTGATTATATTTTCATATTCTTTGTCTTTCCCTTTAGAATCTTTCCACTTCCTGTACATGACAGAGGCATCCACGTTGGCAGGGGAAAATGTGTTGGGCTCATTTAACAGGGAAATTATACTTAACAGGATTGTTCTGAAAATAATGTAATATATATTTATGGGTACTAAAAAACTCTTTATTAATAGATGATTTTTTAATACAGGATTCCTCAGTTGAGAGCAGTATTTATCAGTTTCACAAAACAACTGCTTTTAATAGACAATACTCATGATTTGCAAAGCTACACAAAGGTGAATTTAATGTTTGTGAAAATAGAAAATATAGTCCTACAAGGTCACTGGGAGACCTAATGTTTTACCTTTACTAATAGTAAGGTCAGAAGTCATGAATAATCTTAATTCCAAGAGAGATTCTACATGTTAAAATAACCTACTTTTGATTTATTTAAAAGTGAAATTGAATGGCATTTATAATAGATCAGAAGGATAATATGACAAAGCTTATTTTAAAAGTCTACTTCTGTATCAAAACTTTAACATGTATCTACACTAGAAATTTAAATTAGATTTTAACATGGTATCTTGTTAGCTATCTTGTACGCTGCAGATCTGTAACTCGCTGGTCTAAAAAAATTCGGATGGGTGATCAGAGAGCTACTCTGCTACCCATTGAAAAAAGTGTACATTTATTGCACACACAAAAGTGTGCTGTTTCTTGATTTATTTCTCCATTTATCTATGCTGCCATCTCAAAATTCAACTGTTTCTAGCTAGCATATATTTTTAATACTTCCTGAACAAAACATTTCCCCAAACCATTGTTTATAGCTCCTACATGTATGGGGCTGAAATTTAGACCATCAAAAATTTCCCCTATTTATACATGTAATGCCATATTAGGTGGCAAGAGAATTCAGTCCAGAGCTTTGTGCATGACTTGTTAGTCTTGTAAATGCAGTTTTGTATTCGAAGTAGTAAAAAAAGAAACACACGGTTAGTAATAATTTGAAATACATGTATACGGTGAAAAAAAATCAAGAAACAGCACACTTTTTTGTGCACAATATACACTTTTTTCAATGGGTAGCTCTCTGGTCATCCATCCAAATATTTTCAGACCAGCGAGCTACAGATCTGCAGCTAATTATCTTGTGTGAATTATTTGAAATAGGATGACAATGGTCATAGATGTCAAACAAAACAGCCATTGCAAATAACAAGACAGATGAACTATCTTCCATTCCACAGGAATGTTTCCTTTGCAAACCAAAAAGTGACTTGCAAGAGAGAGAGGTCTACCTGACATTCTGTGTGGGGTTCCATCTCTCTGAAGGAAGTTCACCACTTTGTGGGTCATCTACAGGTGGATGTAATATAGATATACATACATCTCCATTCTGAAACAAGAAAAACAATATACTGTAGATTCCTAATTAAATGCAAGAAATTAATTATCGCATAATTTCGCGGGAAGCATCACTCGAGAAATAAAATTACTTGCTTTTATTTTTATGGTGCATGTAAATTCTCTTGATCAACCATTCATTCACCAATAATTATTCTTGTGATATAACGTTAAAGATCCATTTTGCGATAATAAGTACTTGCAAAAAATAAGAAATTTACAATATTATTCAAAAGGATAGTACATGTATTACAGTGTACATGTATCAATGAGATTGTGATGATCAAGTTTTTTTTTAAATTTGGAATTGGAGTGACTGTAAAAAATGCATAAAGAAAACTAAAATGTTTGAATCATGGCCACTACTGACCTTAGTCGATAAATAATTAGTAGGACTGTTCCTTCATCACGCATTCGATACACTGAAGAGATGTTTTGGGTCTTTCAGAAGAGAATTTAAAAGACTATGCCCCGTGTCACAGTAGGCATTGGCAAAATGAAGAACCCTTACAGCTCAATTAGCCCTGAGTGCCAAGTAAAGGTCTAAATTTGTAGCCCTCTATCGGTATATAGCGACATCTGAATATGTGTGAAAAATTCTCAAACGGAACATACAAAAACATACAGTAAAACTTGTTTAGTATGAACACGGATATTGCGAATTCATGGATATAGCGAAGTCATTTTGGATCCCCAGCTATATAAATCTAATGAATTTTCTATACGGTTAAACGAATTATGGATATAGCGAAGTAATTACAAAGTTTCCAGCGACTTCGTTATAACTGAGTTTTGCTGTACAATCAATCAATCTAATATTAAATGTCCTGAGAATGAAACAAGAAATGTTACCTCATACACATTAGGATGCCACATCTTGGAGATAAACTTCACACTTGGGGGATTGTATGGATAATCCTGAGGAAACTTCATGTGGGCCTAAAAGTAAAGGTAACAATACACACATTAGTAAAATTTATACCTATAAACACAGTGTGACAATATTAAGAGTGATTTTGCAAAAAAAATATACTTTGTATAAGAAATATAGATCAACAAGCTAATTCAGAGAATCTGTGTCCTGCTGAAGGAAAAAAGAAGAGCATGCTCGGATCAGGGGAGAGGGGGGGGTGTCTAGGGGGAACTTTACTAAGGGCAGATGGGGCTTTGGGGAGTTATTGTTTAAAAATTAATTGCAAAAACTCAAAAGCTACTACGGATATAGCATGGGAAATGAAAGTTTTACACACACCCAGAAAGAATGCATTTTTGACCTTGACCTTTTGACCTCAAGAACAATTTGAGGGGTCTTTCTTAGGCCATTGGGAGTTGTGACATAAAATGTTATTGCAAAAGCACTCAGAAGTTGTGTGGAAACAAAGTATTAAAACAGAAACAGACAGAAACAAAAACATTGGGATCTTCCTAAAGCCGTAGGGAGTTGTGTTAAATTTCATTGAAAAAGCTAAAAGGCTTCTTGAGATACATGTATCATGCGGAAACAAAAGTATTACAGACAAAAATACTGACAGACAGGGACGGAAAGACTGACCAAAGGACAGATGGACCGACAGACTGACCAAAATTAATATCCTCCTCTTTAATATAGGGTACAATGAAATCTTATCCTACAAATTGCAGCATTTTTATGACTATACAGTATGTGTTTAATTCTTTGATTGTATGCTTTTTGGGAAAAGGTAGTTAAGTTTTCAAAAGATGTTGAAAAAAAAAGAACCTTTAGCATGCTCAAAGAAATTAAGAGTTTTCTAGCTGCAGAACTGTCACTCTCCAAAAAAATATATTGACAGACTGGAGAGCAACAGTGTCACCCATTGAAAAAACTGTAATTATGTTTATTGCCCACAAAAAGTTGTGCTTGGTTCTTGATTAATTCTTCCAAAGTCTTACCTCAATTGCAAAAAAGCTAGTCTAAGATATCTAATACTGGTAATACATTATTTTTTTATTAAGTACTCTTGAAGATGACATCTGCAAGAAGCACGTTGGGACAAATTATCTTGCAAACCAAAATGGCAGTATTATAAATAAATGAAATTTTCGATGATCTCAATTTCAGGGCCAGGAGGTCGCAGGGCCATCAACAACAATCATAAGGAATGTTTTGTTATGGAAACAGTGAAATAATGTTAAAAAGACATGGTTACATGTAGTAATATTGTGAGATGACTGTTTTTAAAACATGGAGAAATAAATCGGGAAACAGGACACTTTTTTGTGTGCAATAAATACACAGTTTTCTTAATAGTTGGCACTACAGCTCTCCGGTCCTTCAATATATATTTTCGGAAAGCTCCAGTACAGATCTGCAGCTAATAGTTTTCAATATAATTAGGTAGGAGAAAGAGTTATTAGACATGCTTGTGCTTGTATAGATGATCAATTCTATTTATCTTGTTTATACTGGAACTTCTCTGATCATTTCTTCCTCTTCTTTCAATTGTGAGATTTCTCTTACACCATTACATCATGTTAATTTCAAATGAAATTAGTCATTGGTGTATAAATGATATCATTGTGACATCATTATGATATTTTTATTTTTGGATATCTGGGTATTGCCCATTTGCTGTCAAATTTCAGTCTAATGTAGGTCTAGGAAAATTATTAAAAATATCTAAAGCATAAAAAGACCTAATATCTATCATAAAAACAGTTGTGTATACGTAACAAAGATTTCACAAAGTTAACAGACACTTCCTCTGATTCACACTGCACTTTTCACTATTTATAGAAACAGTATAATCTTGGTTGCCAACCTTCTTTGCTTTGTTCTATTTCAACATTGATTTCAAGAAAATGATATTTTTTCTTTATAACCTATTGATTTGTTACACACCTTAAAGTATCCACCCTCGTACATAGTACCAGGAGGTCCGAAAATTGCCACTTCCCACTCGAACAAACTGTCATCATTCATCAAGTTCACACGAAACCCCTCCACTGGTTCCTCGCGGATTTTTTTCAGTTCAAGCTGTAAAGCTTTTACTGCCCCACCAATGGGACTTTGTGCCATATCTTTGAGTTCAGATCGATGTACTTTTATGATAATCTGTTCACGAGGAGACAAAGAAATACCAACTTTCCGTTTGTGTTTTCTTTGTGTTTTGGCTGCAGCGCAATATGGCGAATTGTGACGTCACTCTATTATTGTCAAGACTAAACTAGTCCTTTAGATTGAAAATGAGAACCAGTTTTAAAATTATAGTCGTAAACTCCCAAAAAAAAAAATGCAAATTGTATGTAATTCGTAACGATAATTCTTATTCTTAGTATATCATACAACATTTTAAAAAAAAACAACAAATATTTAATCAACATAGCCCAATATTTTACGACTTTCATTAAAAGTCAGAGACAGATGTGCCACTTCCGGTAGGCACACAGATGAGGAACGAAGAATGGATAATTCTTTTTTGACAGAAGAAGAAAGAAGGGTAAATCTTTAAAGCATAAACAATAAGTGCAATATTGTAGATTCAAGCAAAGAGATGCATAAGACATTAGTATAAGTGGACAGGGAAGACAGGGTTGATTTGTCTACAGTAACATAAATTATCATCATTGATTATTTAATTAATCTGCGATTGTTTGATTCTAAACAACGCAAAATTAACACATAATTGAGACTTTGTTCTTCGAAATTGATTCAGAGTTTTTATAACTATAAAAGTACCAATTAAAAATCGGTCATGAATCTTGTAAAATTGATGATATCTTTCATCAGCTTATCATTTTTTAGTTAAAACATGAAGTTGGGTTTTAAAATTACAACAGTACATCCTGTAATAAAAATTGTTTAAAATTTTCCAAATAAGAGGTTGAAAGTGCAATCATTAGGGCAAGCACTGATACCTTGTCGGAGCACTGTCTATAACTGTGACATTTAGTATGTCTATAAGCTCGTATTAACAAAACGAATAAACATAATCAGGTTGGGCACAGCCTACCAAATGGTACTTAACGGTACTACGAATCACCGGAATGCCCCGTAATCACCGAAATGCCCCTACAAATCACCGGAATGACCATTGAAATCACCGAAATGCCCCTTCAACTGACTTTAAATGATGATTTTCATAAAGATTAATGCTTATATAATAAATTCTACATAATAAAATTTTGATATTTTTACACAAAGATTTTTTATTGAAAAAAATAAATATTAGCTTCAAAGAAAGATAACGTTAACTCTCGCTTATTGAAATATGAATGTGCTCTGTATTATAACCTATTACATACAGAAAACGATGCAAGTTTTTATCAGTTTAATGAATTATTTGAAAATCAATTGTATAACAAATGATAATTTATTTAATTTTTGAAAAAAAGGACAATTGAAAAATTGCCCTTTCTTTAATCTTGCCGTTCATAAGTTCTACCGCTCGTCGTTCAAGGGTCATTTACATAATTATACAAGCTAATTATAAATCGGATGATATCTGAGAATTTAATAATTATGACCAAAATGCAATCTTAATTAGTTAATTTATAATGAAGAGACAATAATTTTTGACACTATATTTTTTTTCTGATCTTAAACTTGTATTTGATCTTCCGCTTCTCATCATTAAAAAATAAAAATGTATATAAGGTTCAATAAATTTATGTTCTACAATCAAATCACATTCTGATATTCAGTATGGCTGGGTTATACCCCTGCACTGAATGCAAAAATGAATGTGGTGAAGGCACCATACAATGTAATTTGTGCACCCGATGGTTGCATGTTCAATGTGTACCCATGTCCGATGTGCTGCTCAAGTCATGGTCGCAACCCATGCTGACCTTCCTCTGCCGCAAATGCTGCTTTGAGAATGGCGAGTTTGACCTGCAGAAATCCTTGCAAAGGTAATATTATATTTATATATTATTTTTAATCCGGGTTCATATATTTACTTATCAAGTCTATTATAACTAGGACCATACTGAATTTTTATCCCCTGAGAATTAAACTGTACATAGCTTTAAAGCATAAAGTCTACTCAGTTTGTAAATTTTAAATGCTAAAGAAATAAATGTAAAAAACGATGTATTTTAATTCTCGAGTTTAACATCACTAAGAAAGCTAAAATACTGTGAGTATACAAGTTTATTTAGAAACTTTCAGCATTAAACATGTCCAAATCTTGTTGACAAAACCACTGTTCTAAAATTGAAAAAAAGTTTTTTTTGTCCACTATCATTCAAATGCACACAATCTCTGATGTAGTCTTCTGGGTACTTTATTTTCTTCATAGATATCACTGAAGCATTGGCAAAGTTTTTCAGTTTCTTATTTATTTTTTTCCTTTGTGATTCGAATCGTTCAATAGTTAACTCCACCGAATACTTGAATTTTCCTCTAGGTAGTATTTCAGAAACGTAAATAAATTGAACAGCGTTTTCTTTCAGCTCGTCTACAAGGTTTTTGATGTTCTTTACTATATCATTTGGTGAGGAATTATCACAAATGTCATTGCCACCAACTAAAATAATCACTATGTCAGGTTTGAAAATCAAGATTTCGTTTATTTTGTATTGTGGAATATTATCAGCACGCATTCCAGATACCCCAAAGAATTTTACTTCTCCTGGAATTTTTAAGTCACCCTCACAAAATTTTTCAAGTCTAGACACGTAACTCGAACCCACTAATGCTACTTTGGCCATCTTATTCCAAATGTCCCAGAGGGAGGAATGGAATTAATTTTTTTTTTTTGGAATATATATACAGATTCATAACTAATTGCTATGAGTAATATTCACTCAGAGAGTCTGATTTTAGATGAATAATTGTTGAGTTATGTTCAGATAAATGTCAACTTATTAGTTGAACTGTGTAATTACCCGGCTTAGATTGAACAAGATGCAAAGCCGACTAATTATCAACAAGCATTTTCTATGAGTAAAGTTCAGAAAATTACATATTAAAATAACTGTATGATGCATATAATTTGATAAAAATTATTTTTTACTTTAAAAATAAGTTAATAAAAAAATAAACATGATCGAAGCGATGTGTTCATAGATGTGTATTTAAATGTTCATTATTTGTGATATTTAATTTTGAAAGGTTATGTTTTTTTAAATATAAATTTTTAATACAAACACCAAATTCAGTGAGGCCTGAAAGATAATAGATGTCAACATTCTGTTTGCAGTGGGTGTTAATACCTATACCGCAAGGAGAACATTACGCAATATTATGCAACAAATATATCTATCAAAAGATGGCTTCATATTATTGAGCCATACGGTTAATATAATCACGTATACACAATGGCATAACATGTATATATATCGGTATTTAATTAATGTTGAAATTTAGCAATTCTACATTTCCTCACATTAAAATGAAAAATGAAACGTTCTTTACTTTTTAAATATTTAATATTCATATGTTAAACTTAGAATAAGTATTATGGATTGTACAAGGCCTTCCTTTTAGAAATGATTTTAATTTTTATTTTTCTATTCTAATGTGAGAACTTGTAATACCGCGTTAAATACACGTATATGAACACATCGCTGCGATGATATTAATCTTTTTGTATCTTTCAATTATAAATTCGTTCAAAGTGATTTTTGAGATTATCTGTTTAAAACATTTCAATCGTTTTATTTTAGGCTATTGGCAGTTTTAGACAGCAAACCCAGTGTAGTGAAAGCGGCTGCGACATCTGAATCCTTGTTACTTGAGACTTACGGTGTGAAACTTCCTGAACCGACCGAAATAAATAAAGCTCATTTAACAATTGACTCTGTGTCTGTTAACATTTTAAGGATGTATCATCCTGTTCTGCTTTCTAGTGTGTACCCAGCAAAGACTGTAGGTGATGGTAACTGTATGTACAGATCTGTGTCAAAAGCTCTAACTGGGACTGAGTCCTTCCATGTACTGTTAAGGTTACTTTCGTCCATTGAGATCCTGACCCATCCACAGTTCTACGATACCGCGCACCGAAAGCATATCGACCTACTAAAAGACAACAGAATCGTGCCCGGTACATACAAAGACATTATAAATGACTCTCTCAAAATTAACGCATATTCTAGTATGATGCACATGTATGCATTAAGTGCTGCACTAGGCAAACCCATCAGGTCATACTACCCACCTCAGTTGTTAGCAGACTTTGTGTCAGAACCTCATACTAGGAAAGTAGTCGGTAGAAGTGTTAATGTATCTGAACAACCAATTGTTACTCTCATGTGGACACAAATGATTTTTTCAGGTCAATCATTTTCTCCCAATCATTTTGTACCCCTGATTAGTTTGGTAACTGAGGAACCATGTTCTGTTGTCACACTTGATGAGTCGTATGCTAATTCAGAATTAGACAATGTAGATCAGTCAATTCCAAATGTAGGTCAATCAAATGTTGTAGATGATCCAAATGTTGTAGATCAATCAATTGTTGTAGATGACCAGAATGTTGTAGATCCATCAAATGTTGTAGATGACCCAAATGTTGTAGACCAATCAAATGTTGTAGATGACCCAAATGTTGTAGATGACCCAAATGTTGTAGATCCATCAAATGTTGTAGATGACCAGAATGTTGTAGATCCATCAAATGTTGTAGATGATCAGAATGTTGTAGATGAATCACATGTTGTAGATGACCCAATTGTTGTAGATCAAATAAATGTCAGTGCAGACAATAATTGCACAAGGGTTTCAGATGACGATGACGAGAGTGAGGAACACATTTCTAATTTTATTTACGACGATTCCGTCCATCCTTTTTCAAATGGGTGTCTTCACAAGTCCTTTTTAGATGTAAATGACCTTTTACATTATTTGCAAACTTACAATTGTTCTAAAGCCCATCAATCAATTCCTTCTGGCGTGAAATCTGATGTTTTTTTTGTGGTCCAAAATGCAAAAAACTTCGAGAAACGATCAAATGGCCTAAAAAGCTCCTTCTCTGACGATTGTGGTGTCTGGAACACCAATACCGGTACTACCCCAAAAACCTATTACGTAAAAACACCAGCTGGTGAATTGAAAACAGTCTTTCTAAGAAATGGTTTGTATTGCTTCCAAAAAAAGGTAAAAGGAAAACGACAATATGTCCCTTTAGAGCCCCAACCTGCGCAAAATTCTGTCATGATCTTGTCGCGACATTATACTACTTTGAAATTAGACTCCTCCTACAAAAAAAGGGTTT